TTGTTTTTCAACAAGACATAAATTGCATTTATTTCCTTTACCACTATAAAGTTTAGCTTTCTCTCTTTATATATATATATATATATATATATATATATGTGTGTGTGTGTGTGTGTGTGTGTGTGTGTGTGTGTGCGTGCGTGTGTGTGTGTGTGTGTCTGGGTGTGTAGAGAGAAAGAATGAGAAAAGAGAGAATATTATTATATCAGGCGCTGGATCGAAATTTGATTCCATTCGAATATAGTCGCGCTATCTTAAAACTAAGTACGAACATAAGTAAATTTTAGGCTTTCGTGGTTGTAGTCGAGTGTATATATATATATATATATATATATATATATATATATGTACTCGACTCTACCGTCGAATTCGACGTAAGAGGGTCATGAGATTTGATTATAGTGGTGAAGGTTTCGCGCAGGACCATCCACACTTTTTTGAAGGGCCGAATACAGAAACCTGGTGCACTACGTGCCACAGCGTCCGCAAACGACCCTCCAGAGGTTTTGAATTCAGCGTTGTCCTTCTCCTAGACCAGTTGCCATCCAAGAACACAGTCTGTCCTGCTATTTACCCATAGCTGGAGGGAGAAGAAGATGATTCACACCTTTTCCAAGGGTATTAGAAATGTAATGGATTCCACTGGAGACTGGAATTTGAACTCGGATCTCCGATCCCTCAATCCAAGCCGCTATCCATTACCCAACCGTATATATATATATATATATATATATATATATATATATATATATATATATATATATATATATATATATATATATATATATATATATATATATATATATATATATATATATATATATATATATATATTTATACATATATATCGTATATATATATATATATATATATATATATATATATATATATACTGTGACGTAGCCTGATTTCATTAACCACATAGACGTTAGGCTAAAAAGCACCCCAAAGTAAAATCTTAAATTCTAGGCGAAAATTAGATATAAAAAAGAAAAATAGATAAATAAATAAAAAATAGAAATTTAATCCAATGCTTTCGACTCGCGAGCGAATATGTTCCATGATCAGCCATACACTCCTCTTCACAAATTCATTCCCTCTTTATCTACTCTTCCGCCCACAAGCCAAGGGCCCGTGAACTTGGAAGTGACCCGACGCGAGAATGACCTGGTTCCAAGATTTCGCAGCTATCAGGCGTTTGACCATGACTGAATTCCTGGCACCATCAGGGTCTCCTGCTGCGATTCACTTTTGGCCATCACACAAGCACTGCGTGATTTGCTCCCTATCCTCCTGCGTACCCGGTCAAGGACGAAGGGAACCCACGCAAAAATCAAAGAAAGGATTTTCAGTTTCCCTCTGACCAGCGGCAGTCGAACGTCTCTGGGCAAAATCGACAGACTGCCCACCGAGATGAAGAAGACAGCAAAGTCTGTCGACTAGGGGTGAAAGGACTGCTATGGAACTGATCAATCCAACGAAACGCCTGTACGAGATGCTGTGGACCATCGAACGATTGTGAAAGACAAGAAATCCAGGAAAATTGCCGGCCAGCCAAAATATTGTTTTAGCATCAGAACTCTCGCTTCGGCGTATCAAAACTTTGTGTGAAGATATCAACTCGACTGAAAGATAAGTTGATTCTCTTGGTTTGATCTGTTTTTATATATGTATGTATTCGCTCGTGCCTTCTGTTCTTTAATGATCTCCTTCCCCTTTGTTAAATGAATGTTCTTTTTTTTCTTTATTTCGTTATATATATTTATAAATAAATGTTTTATTTTGAAATCCATCGTCTTATGTCTGTTCTTCGTTGATTCCTTGTGTCGCTTCCATTTCTGAGTGAAGACCGAGAAAGGATCCCACGTTTTTTTTTTTTTTAAACCCGTGGTTCATCTATAGTTCGTAACAATATATATATATATTATATATATATATATATATATATATATATATATATATATATATATATATATATATATATATATATATATATATATATATATATATATATCCCGTGCCTATATATGGGGGGAGAAAGAGAGGCACGGTGGAGTAATGGATAGCAGCTCAGATTGCGTAATCGGAGCTCCGAGTTCGAGTTGAATCCATTACATTCACTTACGTGCTAATATCCTTCTTCTCACCGACCGCAAATATGGGTAAATAGCAGAACAGACTCTGTTCTAACTCCCTTTAATTAAATTCTCTAAGTATTTATTTCACCAACACTGCAGTAACGCTTGTGAACAGAAAATTCGGAGAGTTGAGTTAAAGGCAGATAACTGAGACATCCGGAAGAGGCATGACACGTGGAACTAAAACATTCTACCCCAGTGGACGAAATAATGGGTTCAGTTAGAAATTCCAATCACCTGAAGTTGGCCGGAGCGTACGATGGCCAAACGATGACAGCCAAAATGAGGGACAATTGAACACTGTAAATGGTTGACAATAAAAATGTAGGGACAACAGTCGGAACAATTTAAATATATGTAAATAATTAGAATAGTCGAAATAGTTACAATATTTCATCTCAGAAATATAGACAGATCCTGAAAGAAGGCCGTGTACAGCGGGCGTCGTGAATATGAAAATAAAGATGAGGACAACAGTCCGAAACGTGGTGTAAATAAATACTTCATCTCAGAAACAGATCCTGAAGAAGGCCGGAGCGTACAACGGCCGAAACGTCGTGAATATGACAATAAAAATGAGGACAATAGTCGGAACACTGTAAATGGTGTATATAATTACAATACTCCATCTCAGAAATGTAGGCACATCCTGAAGAAGGCCGGTGCGTACGACGGCCGAATCGTCGTGAATATGACTATAAATATGAGGACAACAGTCTGAACACTGTAAATAGTCGAAATAGTTACAATATTTCATCTCAGAAATATAGACAGATCCTGAAGAAGGCCGTAGTGTACAGCGGTCGAAACGTCGTGAATATGAAAATAAAGATGAGGACAACAGACGGAACATTGTAAATGGTGTAAATAATTACAATACTTCATCTCAGAAACAGATCCTGAAGAAGGCCGGAGTGTACAACGGCCGAAACGTCGTGAAAATGACAATAGAGTTGAGGACAAGAGCCCGAACAATGTAAATAGTCTAAATAGTTACAATACCTCATCCCGGAAATATAGACAGATCCCGAAGATGGCCGTAGCGTACAACAGCAGAAACGTCGTGAATATGGCAATAGAGATGAAGACAACAGGCCGAACAATGTTAATATTCTAAATAGTTACAATACATCATCTCAGAAATATAGACAGACAATTCTAGAAGTTTGCCAAAAAGAGATTAGGCGGCTAATAGAACGAAAGGTCAGACGGTACAATTGAGTTCTTAACGATTGGAATTTCAGAGAAATATTTCAAACAAAGGGGAAAGCAAGAAGCATACAATTCATTGTATTGTCGCATGTAAAATGGAATTTCTTGTTTGATCATTAACAGTAACAAATATTAAAAGAGCTCAGACGGTTTTATTAACAAAAATGGCGATAATATTTAAATAATTTTACATTTACGTTTGTTATTTTCTGCAAGAGTAAATTTTTATATATACAATTAATTCTGGTGTCACATGTTAGACAAGATATACTTTTAAAGCATTAACAGTGATAATATTCATCGAGAGATCAGACGATCCTATAAACGTAAAATGAAGGCCACTTTTATGCAACTTCGTAGATTTTTTGAAAAATTCATTTAGAAATGTTATCAATACAATTAATTTTTTATCACCTGTATGATTTATTTTTAAATCATAAACCGCTATATTTCATAGGGAGCTGAGGCGACCCTATAAAAAAAAATGACGGATTTAGAACATTGATCTAAAGAACATTGGTCTAAGCGAAACCTGTCTAAGATCATTGGTCTACGGAATACTCGTCTGAATATTGGTCTAATTGACGCCTAAGGACATTGGTCTATAGAATTCCTGTCTAAAGACATTGGTCTATGGGAAACTTAGACCTAACTCGTATAAGGACATTGGTGTAAGTGAAACCTGTCTTAGGACATTGGTCTATGGAACACTTGTCTAAAGACATTAGTCTAAAGAAAACTTAGACATAACTCGTCTAAAGACATTGGTCTAAGGGAAACCTGTCTAAGGACATTGGTCTACGGAATACGCGTCTAAGGGCATTGGTCTAATTGACGCCTAATGACATTGGTCTATAGAATACCTATCTAAAGACATTGGTCTATGGTAAACTTAAAAATAACTCGTATAATGACATTGGTGTAAGTGAAACCTGTCTAAGGACATTGGTCTATGGAATAATTGTCTAAAGATATTGGTTTAAAGGAAACTTAGACCTAACTCGTCTAAAGACATTGGTCTAAGGGAAACCTGTCTAAGGACATTGGTCTATGGAATACTCGTCTAAGGAGATTGGTTTAAGGGAAGTCTGTCTAAGGACATCGGTCTATGGAATACCTCTCTAAAGATCATTGATCTATAATAATATTTTTTAAGAAATTAGCACTTTATTCATGTACAAAATACTCAATTTTATCGATATTTACTATATTACAGAATAATATTTAAGGTTTTTATAGCAATAGTAATTGCTGATCAGACGTGGTTTATAAGCATTTATTGGCATGATACGTTTGCTATTAATACAAACCATATTAGATCATTTTTCTTTTTATTTTGATCTCAGACTAATATTCCCCAGACCAATATTCCTCAGACTAATATTCCTCAGACTAATATTCCTTCGACAAATGTTCCATAGACGAATGTTTTGGATCCAAAAAATGACGGTTATATTTAAGTAATTTTGAAATTGCATTTAGTATATTTTATGCGTGAATATTATGAAATCTTTATCTATACAATAAAGACGTCTCCTGTTTAATCATTTTTATATTTCTTTTTTTTTTTAAATATCGCATTTCGCATAGTTATTTTTGTCTTGCTTTTCGTATTCACGTAAGTTCGCGTCTTCGTCCATTTTTAATGAAATGTATTTAGCAGTTTCTTTGTTTCTTTTTTATTGCAATCAACATATCCTTCTTTCTTTCTTTCTTTCTTTCTTTCTTTCGTTCGTTCGTTCGTTTGTTCTTTCTTTCTTTCTTTTCCCGTATAGCTGTCATCTTTCTTGCCTCGCTTTTCTTTCCTATACCTTCCGTTTTCTTTCTTTCTTTCTTTCTTTCTTTTTCTTTCTTTCTTTCTTTCTTTCTTTTCCCGTATAGCTGTCATCTTTCTTGCCTCGCTTTTCTTTCCTATACCTTCCGTTTTCTTTCATTCTTTTCTCTTTCTTTCTTTCTTTCTTTCTTTCGTTTTCGTTCTTTCGTTTTTTCTTTTTTCTTTCTTTTCCCGTATTGCTGTCATCTTTCTTCCCCTTTTTTTCTTTCCTATACCTTCCGTTTTCTTTCTTTCTTTCTTTCTTTCTTTCTTTCTTTCTTTCTTTCGTTCGTTCGTTCGTTCGTTTGTTTGTTCTTTCTTTCTTTCTTTTCCCGTATTGCTGTCATCTTTCTTGCCTCGCTTTTCTTTCCTATACCTTCCGTTTTCTTTCTTTCTTTCTTTCTTTCTTTCTTTCTTTCTTTCTTTCTTTCTTTCTTTCGTTTTCTTTCTTTCTTTCTTTCTTTCTTTTTCTTTTTCGTTTGTTCTTTCTTTCTTTTCTTTTCCTATACCTTCCGTTTTTTTCTTTCTTTCTTTCTTTTGCCTTTCTTTTTTTCTTTCGTTCGTTCCGTTTGTTCTTTCGTTTTCTTTTTCGTTTCTTTCTTTCTTTCTTTTCTTTTCTTTCGTTTTCTTTCTTTCTTTCTTTCTTTCGTTCGTTCGTTCGTTCGTTTGTTTGTTCTTTTTTCTTTCTTTTCCCGTATAGCTGTCATCTTTCTTGCCTCGCTTTTCTTTCCTATACCTTCCGTTTTCTTTCTTTCTTTCTTTCTTTCTTATGTTCGATCGCTTGTTCGAACCCCTCCCAGTATATGTCTCTCTTTCTTTCTTTCTTTCTTTCTTTCTTTCTTTCTTTCTTTCTTTCTTTCTTTTTGTTCTTTTGTTCTTTTATTTAGCTGGGCACATGTTATTTTCTTTCTTTCTTTCTTTCTTTCTTTCTTTCTTTCTTTCTTTCTTTCTTTCTTCCGTTCGATCGCTTGTTCGAACCCCTCCCAGTATATGTCTTTCTTTCTTTCTTTTGTTCGTTTATTTAGCTGGGCACATGTTATTTTCTTTCTTTCTTTCTTTCTTTCTTTCTTTCTTTCTTTCTTTCGTTAATTCGTGTGTTCGAGGCCATGTTAGTATGTATATATATATATATATATATATATATATATATATATATATATATATATATATATTATTTTTATAAAAAATTTATAACATAAGTATGTTATAAAATCACTACTAAAAATAGCCATTTTGTTTTCAACACACTCTGTGTCTTATCAAGTGATGGTGTTGAAAAGAAAATAAATGGTTTTAAAAGTTTCAGATGAATTAACGATCCTACACTAGGGGAGCATTGTTACAAAAGCTAGAATAACCAATCAAAAACGAAGTACAGAAAGATTCAAAAGCTTGACAACAAAATCCTGCTATTATAGCTATTTAGATCTTTAAATACGTGTAATATTAAAAATAATTTTTACTAACTAATAATTATAAATTTATATGATAAAATTTAATATTAAAATTAAAAACTGGCAATTTTTAAAATCCAAATTTAATCACTATTAAGTTTAAAACTACAAAATTATTGAGAAAAGAAAAAATATATATGTTTATTCAATTCATTTCTTCATTGAAATTACGTCTGACAAGACAAAAAGCTACAATTCGTCCGGTCATCTGATAATACATGTATATTTTTTTTCTTTTCCGTTTTTTTATTTTAAAGTTTGTGAATATGGTCTTAAACTCACGCGTGACACAACAAAATCACAATCAGATTATAATACATACGCATCTAGACATAATTAGATACATACACACACACACACACACACACACACACACACACACACACAAACACAAATATACACACACACTAAAAAAAAAAAATATATATATATATATTTCTTTCTTTCGTTCATTTTCTGGGTTCATGTTTGTAAATTTCTTTCTTTCATTCTTCATTTCTTTCTTTCTTTATTAGGTTCGTTTGTTCAAACATATATGAATATATTTCTTTCATTTTTTTTCTTTCGTTCTTTCTTTTCTTTTCTTTTGATCTTTCATTCGTCTGTTTGAGCGCATATTTCTTTCTTTCATTTGTCTGGCCCTATATCTATACATCTCTTTCTTTCTTTCTTTCATTCTTTTGTTCATTTGCCTGTTGAAGTATATTTCTTTCTTTTTTTCTTTCTTTTTTCGTTCGTTTCTTCGAGCATATGTCAGTATATTCCATGTTAGTATATTTCTTTCTTTCTTTCTTTCTTTCTTTCTTTCTTTCTTACGTTCGTTTGTTCGAGCATATGTCACTATAGTTCTTTCTTTCTTTCATTTGTCTCGGCCCATATCTGTATATCTCTTTCTTTCATTCATTCTTTCTTTCGTTCGCTGGTTGAAGCCCATTTCAGCATATTTCTTTCTTTCTTTCTTTCTTTCGTTCGTTTCTTCGAGAATATGTCAGTATATTCTTTCTTTCTTTCTTTCATTCTTGTGTTCTTTCGTTAATTCGTTTGTTCGAGGCCATTTTAGTAGACTTCTTTCTTGCTTGCTTTCTTTCTTTCTTTCGTTCATTTGCCTGGGCTCATGTCTGTATATTTCTTTCTTTCATTCATCATTTCTTTCTGTCTTTCTGTCTTTCTTTCTTTCTTTCTTTCTTTCTTACGTTCGTCTGTTCGAGTACATTTCACTATATTTCTTTCTTTCTCTCTTTCGTTCGTTTGTTCGTTCGTTCGTTTCTTCGAGCACATATCAATATATTTCTTTCATTTTTTTTCTTTCTTTCGTTCTTTCTTTTCTTTTCTTTTGATTTTTCGTTCGCCTGTTCGAGCGCATTTCAGTATATTTCTTTCTTTTCTTACTTTCTTTGGTTGAGGCCATTTTTAGTATATTTCTTTCTTTCTTTCGTTCATTTGCTGGGCTCATGTCTCTAAGTTTCTTTCTTTCATTCTTTTGTTCGTTCGAGTTCATGCCTATCTATTTCTTTGTAGCAAAGGATAGTTTTTCTTTCGAAAAAAAAAATGACAATATATTTCCTTCACTCTTCCTTTCATTGTTACAAATGAATGTATTTCATTCATTTTTTCTTTCTTTCTTCTTTCTTTCTTTCTTTCTTTCTTTCTTTCTTTCTTTCTTTCCGGCCAATCTACGAAAGATACATTCTGCTCCCATAACACCTATCTTCACTCTTTCTTTTCATTGCTACACATGCATGTATTTCATTCATTTTTTCTTTCTTTCTTTCTTTCTTTCTTTCTTTCTTTTTTCCTTCTTTCCCGCCATCTACGAAAGATACATTCTGCTCTCATAACACCTATCTTCACTCTTTCTTTCCATTGTTACACATGAATGTATTTCATTCATTTTTTCTTTCTTTCTTTTTTTTTTCTTTCTTTCTTTCTTTCTTTCTATCTTTCTGTCTTCTTTCTTTCTTTCTTTCTTACTTCTTTCTTTCTTTCTTACTTCTTTCTTTCTTTCTTTCTTTCTTTCTTTCCCGCCAATCTACGAAAGATACATTCTGCTCTCATAACACCTATCTTCACTCTTTCTTTCCATTGTTACACATGAATGTATTTCATTCATTTTTTCTTTCTTTCTTTTTTCTTTCTTTCTTTCTTTCTTTCTGTCTTCTTTCTTTCTTTCTTTCTTACTTCTTTCTTTCTTTCTTTTCTTTCTTACTTCTTTCTTTCTTTTCTTTCTTTTCTTTCTTTCCTGCCAATCTACGAAAGATACATTCTGCTCTCATAACACCTATCTTCACTCTTTCTTTTTCCATTGTTACACATGAATGTATTTCATTCATTTTTTCTTTCTTTCTTTTTTCTTTCTTTCTTTCTTTCTTTCTGTCTTCTTTCTTTCTTTCTTTCTTACTTCTTTCTTTCTTACTTCTTTCTTTCTTTCTTTCTTTCTTTCTTTCTTTCTTTCTTTCTTTCTTTCCCGCCAATCTACGAAAGATACATTCTGCTCTCATAACACCTATCTTCACTCTTTCTTTTCATTGTTACACATGAATGTATTCCATTCATTTTTTTCTTTCTTTCTTTTTCTTTCTTTCTTTCTTTCTTTCTGTCTTCTTTCTTTCTTTCTTTTCTTTTCCCTTCTTTCTTACTTGCTTCTTTCTTTCTTTCTTTCTTTTAACACCTTTCTTTCTTTCTTTCTTTCTTTCTTTCCCACAAATCTACGAAAGATACATTCTGCTCTCCATAACACCTATCCCCATTGTCCTTTTCTTTTCATTGTTACAATCTAATGTATTCCATTTTTTTTACTTTCTTTCTTTCATTGTTTTCTTTCTTTCTTTTTCTTGAACTCTTCTTTCTTTGCTTTCCCGTCTAATCTACGAAAGATATATTCTCCTCTCATAAAACCTATCTCCTTTCTCCACCAATAAGTTTTTTGATACAAATTTTTTTTAACCCCATACCTTTAATTTCCGCCCTGACTGTACTTTCCATTGTCCTTTATCTTTTCGTATAGACAATCTTTTCGATTACATTTTTTTTGCTTACCTTCTTGATTTCTAAATCAATTTGTTTTGATGATGAAAACGGCTTGAACTATATGACAAAAGTATTCGTATAATCTCCGACCCTTGATCTCTGTTTTTTTTCATCAGAAATGGCGCGTGCTCTCCTTTCTTCATTTGCTAAGAGTTTTTGATACATAATTTTTTTTTTTATTTTCTTCTCTTTTAATTTCTCGATTGCTGACTGTACTTTCCTTTGTTAGCTTACCCTGTAGGGATAGACATTGTTTTCTTCCAGTCTGTTTTCTTGCTTACCTTCCTTGATTCGGCTAATAGAAAGAATTGTTTGATGATGAAAGCGGCAGAACTATCTGACTAAACGGTATTTTAAACATATATTTCTTCCTCCTACTGGACCCACCATATTCTGTTTTTTTTTATTTATTTCAAATCCTCACCATTTTCGACATTTTTAAAGTCTTCCTCCTATTTCTTCCTCCTACTCATTTTTCTCTTTCTCCTACTTCTTTTTAACTCTTCCTCCTACATTCAAACCCCTCTCCCTACTTCTTTTTCCTCTTCTTTCGAAACGAAAACAACGTATGAACTACCTAGCGAGCTTGAGTAGATTTATGGCAGAATAAGGTTTAGGATATATAACAAAAAAGCAACATTTATTAAGAGTTACAAAATATAGGAAATTGCGGAGAGCCATGGCTGCCATCTTACTAAACGGACATTTTTTAAAATCTTCTCCATTTTTATTTCTTCCTCCTACTATTTTCCTTTTCCTACTTCTTTTGCCCCCCTGTCCCTACTTCTTTTTACTCTTCCTCCTACTTTCAAACCCCTTGTTCTTACTTATTTTTTTTTCCTCTTCTTTCATAAACCATTGAAGGATCTTGAGTAGATTTTCGAACTTAGGGATAAAATTCTTCCTTCTATTTCTTGCCATCTTACTAAAGACATTTATTTCAAATCCTCACCATTTTTGACTTTTTTAAAAATCTTCCTCCTACTCATTTTCCTCTTACTCCTACTTCTTTTGCCCCCTGTTCCTACTTCTTTTTACTCTTCCTCCTACTTTCAAACCCTTCTTACTACTTGTTCCTCTTCTTATTTCTTTTTTCCTCTTCTTTCGAAACGAAAACAACGCATAAACTACTTAGCGATCTTGAGTAGATTTATGGCAGAATAAGGTTTAGGATAGATAACAAAAAGGCAACAATTATTAAGAGTTACAAAATATAGGAAATTGCGGAGAGCCATGGCTGCCATCTTACTAAAGAGACATTTATTTCAAATCCTCACCATTTTTGACTTTTTTAAAAAAATCTTCCTCCTACTCATTTTCCTCTTACTCCTACTTCTTTTGCCCCCTGTTCCTACTTATTTTTACTCTTCCTCCTACTTTCAAACCCTTCTTACTACTTGTTCCTCTTCTTATTTCTTTTTTCCTCTTCTTTCGAAACGAAAACAACGCATAAACTACTTAGCGATCTTGAGTAGATTTATGGCAGAATAAGGTTTAGGATAGATAACAAAAGGGCAACAATTACTAAGAGTTACAAAATATAGGAAATTGCGGAGAGCCACGGCTGCCATCTTACTAAAGAGACATTTATTTCAATCCTCAACATTTTCGACTTTTTTTTAAAAATCTTCCTCCTACTCATTTTCCTCTCACCCCTACTTCTTTTGCCCCCTGTTCCTACTTATTTTTATTCTTCCCCCTACTTTCAATCCCTTCTTACTACTTTACCATTGAAATAGTTGAATGTAACCGCCACTTCTACTCCAACAGCTTCTTTTCTCGCACTTCTCATTTGTGGAATTCCCTTTCCGCTTACTTGTTTCCCTGGGATTTAGAATCTTCAAAAGCTTAAATACAACGTCAATCGCCATCTTCTGATGTCTTGAACCCCATTCATTTTTTTAAAAACTTTTCTGCATTCTCACTATACACAGTTTTTTTTTTCTACCGCCTTCACAGTCTGTAAACCCCTGCAAACCAGTGGCACGCCCGCCTTGCTTGGGGTGAAATAATTAAAAAAAAAAATTTCAGATTAAAATATCTCCCAAATTTTGTGAATTTTATTTCTTCAAAGTGACAAGGGATCGGAAGTAAAATGAGAGGTTTCGTGACGTGAACATTTGAAGTTTCGCAGACTTTGTGATATAAAGAAAGCTACTCAGGAGAAGAACTTGATTTGGGCCCTGAATTGGAATTCTGGCCCAACTCGACCGGAGGAGACTCATAGCCCGAATCAGTGTTAAAATGAGGTTTTTAAGCTCCAGGGTGTGAGGAGGGTACAGTTAAAAATTCAAATTTTAAAATAACTGAAAAATAAAGTAACTTTAAAAGATTTTAAGTTATGCTGAGTTTAAAGTAACACAAGAACTTTGCGAATTTTAAAGTTATTCAGTTTTAAATTCAGTTTAAAATATTTCCAAAATTTGTGAATCGAGGTAATCCATTTTAATTCTTTAAAATTCCAAGGAATCAAAGTTAAAGGTGATGTGACGTTTTGAAGCTCCAGAGCGTTTGTTATTCGAAGAACTCAACCCAGTTTTAAACCTGAATTGCGATTTCGGTCCAACTCGGTCTTTGAACCGGAATTGGAATTATATCCTGAATCAATGTTAAAGTGTTGTTTTGAAGTTCCATGGCGTGAATTGAGGAATTCAATGTTATTTCTTCAAAATTATCATTGGTATTTTTTTAAATAAGACTCTAGATGCCTCTTTTGGTTCTTTGTTCTGTTGTGAATTTTTCTATGGGTAATTTCCCTATGTTAATCTAAGTCCTGAAAAACATATTTAAGTTCCACGTAGTTTGGGATTTGAGGAATTTGATTTGGCTCCTGAATTGGAATTCCGGGCCAACTCAGTCTTTTGACCGAATGAGACTCACAGCCCGAATCAGTGTTAAAATGAGTTTTTTGAAGTTCCAGGGCGTGAATTAAGCAATTCATAGTTGTTTCTTCAAAATGGTGATTGCTGTTTTCTAAAGTGAACAGCATGTCCCTTTATTTCTGGGCCGGATCTCCAATTAGCTCTCCGTAGGGATTAACTTATAATCTAGCCATAAATAATTGAATTATCCATTTTTATGGCTTACCAAGAAGATAAAAATAAACTTGTTATATAGGAATAAAGTGTCGCTGCCGACACTTGGGTTTGAACATAGATCGCCAGTGAGCAAACAATTGTGGTACAATTATTGACTTAAGTAAACCACGTGGTCATACAGGAAACGCATATATGTAAGAAGTAGCTGACGACTAACGATCGCTATTTCTAGTCTATCCTCTATTACTATTCGGATCGTCATTTCTAGTCTATCCTCTATTACTATAGGGACCACTATTCTCTACTCTATTCGCTATATTACATCTCTATTCGGATAGTGATATCCGAAGGTGTTTGATACTAGTATTGTTTAACAGCATTACTATAGTTGTATCTGCGATTACAAAGTCTCTACTACAATGAGTATTACGAAAGTGACAACGAGTATTCGTTGACATCACAAAAGGAAGATGATGTAATAAGGTCATAAATTGTAAAAATGGTAAAAGGAAAACAAGGGGAACACAAAAGGCATTGGAATCAGTTAAAGACATCCCAAAAGTGACAACGGGTGTTCGTTGACATCACAAAACTCAGGAACACCAGACCAGAAATGGCAGCAATATTCAATGGAGGGACGGATGGTAGATTTTCTCTACTCTATTCACTATACTATTTCTCTATCCGGATCACTATACGGTGATTACTATTCGAGCGAGTATTATCGAGCAAGTACTATTAGTGAGAGTGTTATTCGAAGGCGTTTGGCACCAGTATTGTTCAACGGCGTTACTATAGTTGTATCTGCGATTACAAAGTCTCTACTACAACGACCATTACGAAAGTGACAAAGAGTATTCGTTGGCATTATAAAAGTGGCAACGAGTGTTCGTTGACATCACAAAAATATGGCAAGGAAGATGAGGATAAGAGTCCGAGTAATGTAAATAATGCAAGTAATCTTAATACCTCATCTCAAAGATAAAGACATATATTCAGGAAGAGGCAGTTGAAATTTCTGGGGCTACTTTATACGAGTCACTATACTATTTCTCTATACGGATTACTATTCGAGCGAGTATTATCGAACAAGTGCTATTATTGAGAGTGATATTCAAAGGTGTCTGATACCAGTATTGTTCAACGGCGTTACTATAAGTTGTATCTGCGATTACAAAGTCTCTACTACAAAGAGCATTACGAAAGTGGCAACGAGTATTTGTTGGAATTTTAAAAGTAGCAACGTGTGTTCGTTGACATCACAAAAAACAAAACTACATCTTATATTCACCGTTAAGAATCATCGTCTTGCTTTTATAACAAGACATGAAACCCTTTATTTATCGACAACAGAAAAATGATGCTCTCCGATTCAAAAAGACGAGTAAAGTATATTTGAGAATGATTGAATACGAAATACCGAACAAGTTCAGATCATTTGTCGGAGTTTTTGAGGTGATGAATTATCATTATTCTATTCATGTTTTTTTTTTCCCATTCAGAATCGTATACATATCCTGTGTTATGTTTTGCATATCTCTCTGCATCGTAGCAGCCGTACTACAGTTCTCCGTGTCCTGAATAACAACCGGGTTTGCTAGGTATTACTGTCCCCCATGTTCGCCAATTGTTCTCTATTTATACTTGTCTATCTAATTTGCATACGATACTACACACTGATTGCTATACTTCCAAAAGCCGAAACCAGAAAAGCTTATAACGATGTTCAGAATGTTAAAGATCTATGTGATGTACTTGAAAACAGTTGGAATTGCTCGGTAAACTTGACATATTTGGGAAGAATATTAGAGTAATCCAGAACGTCTGCTAAATAATTAAAGGTCTCCAATTTCATGATTTACTGACAATATCAAAATAAACAACAACGTATCACCCCCCACCGTTAGTAGCTATTGTCTCTGTTTCATTACAAGACAATGAAACGTTTTATGTGTGTGTGCCTCGAGTTATTTTCCTTGCTTTAACCAATGAATGCATTGTATATCCGGAATCAATTTTACTAGACATTACTAACATGTCAGCAAACAACTTGTAGGGCTAAATGGTAAATAGATAGATAGATAGATAGATAGATAGATAGATAGATAGATAGATAGATAGAAGAAATTGAGATAGACAGACAGACATGAACAAATTGAGATAGATATGATAGATCGATAGATAAATATTAACATAGATAGATAGATAGATAGATAGAACAAATTGAGATATATAGACAATGAACAGAATGAGATAGATAGATAGATAGATAGATAGATAGATAGATAGATAGATAGATAGATAGAAGAAATTGAGATAGACAGACAGACATGAACAAATTGAGATAGATATGATAGATCGATAGATAAATATTAACATAGATAGATAGATAGATAGATAGATAGATAGATAGAACAAATTGAGATATATAGACAATGACCAGAATGAGATAGATAGATAGATAGATAGATATGAACAAATTGAGATAGATATGAACAAACTGAGATAGATAGATAGATAGATAGATATGAACAAATTGAGATAGATATGAACAAACTGAGATAGATAGATAGATAGATAGATAGATAGATAGACATGAACAAATTGAGATAGATATGATAGATCGATAGATAAATATTAACATAGATAGATAGATAGATAGATAGATAGATAGATAGATAGATAGATAGATAGAACAAATTGAGATATATAGACAATGAACAGAATGAGATAGATAGATAGATAGATAGATAGATAGATAGATAGATAGATAGATAATGAACAAATTGAGATAGATATGAACAAACTGAGATAGATAGATAGATAGATAGATAGATGATAGATAGATAGATAGATAGATAGATGCAAAGTTTGAGATATATAAAGAGATAGAGAAATAGAGAGAGATTAGAAGTTATAGATAAATGAGGATAGATAGATAGATAGATAGATAGATAGATAGATAGATAGATAGATAGATAGATAGATGCAAAGTTTGAGATATATAAAGAGATAGAGAAATAGAGAGAGATTAGAAGTTATAGATAAATGAGGATAGATAGATAGATAGATAGATGCAAAGTTTGAGATATATAAAGAGATAGAGAAATAGAGAGAGATTAGAAGTTATAGATAAATGAGGATAGATAGATAGATAGATAGATAGATAGATAGATAGATAGATAGATAGATGCAAAGTTTGAGATATATAAAGAGATAGAGAAATAGAGAGAGATTAGAAGTTATAGATAAATGAGGATAGATAGATAGATAGATAGAACAAATTGAGATATATAGACAATGAACAGAATGAGATAGATAGATAGATAGATAGATAGATAGATGGATAGATAGATAGATAGATATGAACAAATTGAGATAGATATGAACAAACTGAGATAGATAGATAGATAGATCGATAGATAGAGATAGAACAAATTGAGATATATAGACAATGAACAGAATGAGATAGATAGATAGATAGATAGATAGATAGATATGAACAAATTGAGAAGATTGAACAAACTGAGATATATAAAGAGATAGATAGATAGATAATAGATGCAAAGTTTAGATATATAAAGAGATAGAAATAAGATTGAGGATAAATAGGATAGATAGATAGATAGATAGATAGATGCAAAGTTTGAGATATATAAAGAGATAGAGAAATAGAGAGAGATTAGAAGTTATAGATAAATGAGGATAGATAGATAGATAGATAGATAGATAGATAGATAGATAGATAGATAGATAGATAGATACTAACTGACAACATTGACAATACTTAAAACTGAAAAACTGAGAATATTTTTAAATGTCTGCCGTTGCAGTAAGAATTTTTTTAAAAAATTCTCAGATAATCCAAATATCTAAGTTTTGTTGATTCATGTCAATGGCGTATTGGTCGCCGAATCACTGTCTCCAAAATAATCAAAATTAAATGAAATAAAATAAAATAAAATAAAAAAAGATCTGATTAAATGAATGCAGACGAACGAGATAACCATCTACGTCCACCCTCCATTTTTTTTTTCTCTCTTATTTCTAACCCCCTCCCCTCTCCGATCCTCCTACCGAGATATTTCCACCAATCAAACAGCTATTTTCATCCATGGTCTAGTGTTCCATCATTGTAAATGACCAAGGATAACGCGTTTGTCTGAACACATGAGAAATAACTCTCTGAAAGATAGTCAAAGAAACGTGACGAGACTTTGGCGGGAGTACAGATTTGGAGAAATAAACAAAAGACAAATAAAGATAAAAAAAGAAAAGGAAAGAAAAATAAATAAATGGATAAATAAAAGGACAAAAAAAAAAAAAAAAAACAGGCGGGAAAATAAAACGGGAAAGAAAAAAAATATGTAGATAAATAAAAGTTTAAAGCGGAAAGAAACCACGTCAGAATTTCCGTGACTTGTTTTAATAATGCCTTTTTTTTCGGTTCGTTTTCTTCTTAAAGTAAGGATCATCGGGGACAAGTCTTCATTTTATGCCAATTGATTTCTTTTTACATATATATATATATATATATATATATATATATATATATATATATATATATATATATATATATATATATATATATATATATATATATATATATATATATATATATATACACACACACACATATATAAATATATATATATATATATATACACATAGATATACACACACATATACACACACACACACATATATATATACACACAAATATATATATATACACACATATATATATATGCACACACACATATATATATGCACACACATATATATATATACACACACACACATATATATATATATACACACACATATATATATACACCCACACACACATATATATGCACACATATATATACACACACATATATATATATATACACACATATATACACACATATATATATACACACACACATATATATACACACACATATATACACACATATATATGTATACACACATACATATATATATACATATATATATGTTCATATACACACAAACACACACACACATATATATATATATATATACATATATGCATACATATATATATATATATATATATATATATATATATTATTTTCCGTTTCTGCCTTATCTTTCTGGAGATAAGTTATTTCTTTTATTTCTTTAATACTGCCTATATTATACTATAATTACGAAGCCTGTTCGAAACGTATTCAGACATTTTGAACATCTAGGGAAGCCATTGCGTGGCCGTGCTGTTAACTTGGCGGATCAATGCAGCCCGAGAAAATAAAAAAAAACCACACTCTTTGGGACATTGTATTTCAAATACGTCACTCAATCTAAGGCTAGACAACCAGACCTATCGTTATGTTGGCCGAAGAAAATATAACAGATAATGGATGTCGCTGTTTGTCCAGACCCCCAAATTAAAACTGAAAGGAAAGTGGACGGCCAATAACAAAATGAGTAACAAAGTAGTGACAGTGGTGTCTGTCAACAGTAGCAGGGGTGGAATGATCTCAAAGGAGCTTTGCAAAGAGTTATACCCGTGTATAAGTCGAGTTTATACATAGTACGTGCCCTGAATCTTTTTTTGTGAAAAACTAGATTGCTTTATATAGCTTGTGTATAATGTGAGCCCAGCATCTGAGTAAGTAATAATAGGTTTACCGTACTGCAGTACTGGGTGTCATACTGTCTATGTAGAATCTATTAATTCTTCATTTATACAAGACTAGCAGCCTGGCCCGGCGTTGCCCGTGTTTGATTCAAAAATTGTACGACTCATACAGCAATCGCTATCACTTGACTTAAAATATTTTTGCCGTTCCCTGCCTTTAAAGGAGTGCCCTTTGCCGTGCTGATGTTACTACATGCCTTACTTCTTGCTTATCTCACACTGCGAATTCTTTCTAAGCTCTATACTAAACATTAAATCTATTACGAAAAAAGAACTAAACAAAATGAACACAAAACGATCAGCTTTAAAAAAGGACTGGTAAATGGAAAAACCGAATGAAAAAAGAATGTTAACAACAAATACTTTTTCACAGCCAACCCAGTTCTGCGGAATTAGAATCAATGTTGAGTTTAAGCAAGCGAATGAGCCAATTGAAGTAAATTGCCACGCAGATTTAAATTTTTCCCACTTGTTACGAATGCAGCTATCGATTTTTTTGCATGCTAGTATGCTAGTTAACATTCGTGTCATCAGCTGCTGGCTCTCACGCTGGCCAGTAGAATCTTCCTGCCTATTCGTGGCAGCCAGCTATTGGCTCTCACTCTGGCCAATACAAAATGGCCGCAAACTATATGAAAACTGGCGTAGAAGGCATGAAAAAAATCGATTATTTCTACTATCGATGGGAGTTGGGAAATGCAATGTCGGTCTTGGCCTTTCTACTGACTTGGAGCATGTGCATGCAAATTTTGGTGCAAATCCGTCAAAAATTGCGGCCGTGCATTCGTTACACACACACACACGCACACACACACACACACACGCACACACACACATGCAAACACCCCCCCTTTATAGATAGAGATAAAAAAATTTAAAAAACGCGATTTAAATGTCCGGACAATTTAAATGTTTGACAAGTTTCTGGTTTGTGTTTAATTTAATTCTGTTTTTTTTTAATAAACTTTTCGATTTTTTTTCTGTGACGAAGAACTGACTGTTCTTCATTTGCAGTGTTAAAAACAACAACTTGGAGCATGTGCATGTAAATTTTGGTGAAAATTGCGGTCGTGCATTCGTTACACACACACACACACACACACACACACACACACACACACACATCCTGCCTTTTATAGATAGAGATATTTGTTGATTTTAAGTGGCATACACCGTGGATGAGGTTTTCTTCTTCATGTAACGAAAAACAAAAAGAAACTTACGTTAAGTTGGAGGCTGATCCAGGGTAAAGCAGCTACCGTAGTCAGGCATGAATGAAAGAAATGTATGTTATCTAAATCGTCGTATCAGATATTTTGTTATAAGGTTTTTTGGTTCTCGTGATTACTGTCGTCTCTGTTATAGGATACTAAATAAATACATGGTCTCTATTCCCCACACTTCACGATTTGAGGCGTTTTCATCCTCTGCTGATAAAGATGAATGATTTAACCGTAAATTCTCCTCAAACTTTACTCTTGACTCATCTGGATTATCCTTATAGAAAATAAGCGTCTTCGTTCTTTGTTTTAAACCAGGTGTCGACAACTCATTCCACCCCGCGGGCCGGATCTTGTGATAATGAACGGTCGCGGTCCGGACGCAGGCCATTAATGAAAAATTAAGGAAAATTACATATGCAGACCCTGTCAACCTGGATCTGAGGAAGATAACAGCAGGCCTTTTGTCAAATTCGAAAGCCTCGTCTCTCATATTAAAAATAGAGTCATTGGTAATCAGGCTCGCGGGCCGGTCAAAATGCCTTCGTGAGCCAGATCAGGCCCGCGGGCCGTAGGTTGCCGACCCTTGTTTTAAACAATTCCACGTGCACTGAGATAAAATAAAAATCATTCATTCCATTAATCATCTGAGAGGCCGCTCACTACTTTCCATCAACCTAGCTGATGCTATCCTCGAGGTAAAATGACT